AGAACTACGGCCCAGCAGCCGGCCCACTTCGTTCGGCTGGCGATGTAGCAATGGTGCGTTGAGGTCAGGTTTGAAGTCCGCACAGCTCAGGGCTGTTGCTGCCTGCATTCAATCCGTGCATCTGGAAAAGCTGTCCTCGTGAGCTCAGTTGACGGGTGGACGCCATGACGGCCGCAAATGGACGCAAAAGGTGCAGCATGCAGCCAAGCACGTGGTTACTACACATTGCATGCCATGACGTCAAATAATGACAGTCTATCATTAATTTTAGGCCATTTGTGCAGTTTGCCCTCTCCCCACGCGTATAATAATAATCTTATATTCTTTGCTTTTGATGTTGCTTGTGTTTGCACAGTACTACATGTTGTACTGTTGTGGACATGGAAATCCGGTCACACGTCTAGCGGCCGCATGGGCCGTGGGTAAGCAGAACACACATGCATTATGCGCTGTTGCAGTGTAGGGTCCGGCGGATTCTGCCGGCAGAAGAATTGGCAGAATTCGGTACTTTTTCTGGTAAGTTTCATGCATGTTTGGTTTGTGGATAAAGACAATTTAATGGAGCAGAATTCGAGGAATTGCCCGCCATAAGGTTTGTATGGATCTGCCAATTTCACTGCTTTTCGAGCAGAATCTGCCACCTTTTCGAGCATTATCCGCCGGTCCCTAGTTCTGGTCACATCGGATCAACATGACTCAATTGACTGTGCACTGCATGCACCGTTCTGTACGCGCTGAGGGCGCCGGCCCCGGTCAATCGACTGGATTTCCATGTCCGCGACAGTAATTGTGCGTCGGTTCTACTGTATGGTTTCACCGAGCTATCCATCACTGAGTACAAGGCACACTGTGTATGGAAATCATTAGTTGGTGTACATACATGTACGTGCATGTACATGTACATGACTGAAAAATATAATTTCACAGGCTGAAGTTGTTTGTTTGTTTGAAGTACGCTAAACATTTCCAAAAACTGGCTTTCAAACCAACACGCGTGAATATTGGCTAGACCGATTACTTGCTCCAGTTCTCAGTGCGTATTCCTGCAAAAATATGAACCAAGTATTCATTATAACTATAAGCCCATGGTCCATCCACTACATGTACTACAATTGTGGACTGGACTGGCACTACATGTAGCAACAACTGAGCTTCTTGTTGTTCCATGACGCAACGGCAAAAGTCTGTCAAGTAATGAATGACTGGTCCGTTCTCGCCACTCGCTGCAGAGGAGCTGCCGGCATGGCAGCACCCCCATACATGCAGGCGAGGAGTTGTGTCCATGCGCATGTACATGTACATGTGTGTGCAGTGCTGCTGAATGAAATCCGATATCATGAATCACGTTTGCTCTCTGCACCAGTTCGCATCTCATTGTTGGCAGATTTGTTAATGCTTAGTTGTCTCGGATTTCAGTGACCATTAGTGTACATTTACATGCCTAGGATTGGATTGGATTTTTATTTATAGTGGTGACTATAACAGACAATTGCCTAATAACAATAGACCCACTCGAGGGAAAGATGCAAAAAGATATGAATAATTAATATAATAGACTACCGGTATTGGATAGGTGATCATGTTCGCATTTTGCATAGCTGAAAGGCATAATTACTAGCGTGAAAAAGCAAGGCATTGGGGTAACAGTTTCTTAAAACGGGCGGAGTTATCCACACAGCGAGCTAGAGGGTGCAAATCATTCCACAGCTTAGCACATTGGAAGGAAGCGCCATGACGGGCAAAGGCAGTTCTGAGCATGGGCAACTTAAGAGTGCGTGATAAAAGGCTGCGCGTTGCAAGACCATTATTTAAACGCTCGAACATTTGACTTAATGTGACACTACAGCGGCCTTCCAAACAGCGCCACGTCAGATACAGTAATTTCTTGCAATACATGGATGCCAAACGATCTAGACCAAGTCTCGCAAATAAAGGGCTTGATGGGCTACAAAAGCCAGTATCGTACACTGTACGCAAAGCTCGCTTTAGCATTCGTTCAAGCCTACCTAACTGGGTTAAGGAAAGGCCAGCAGAAAAACAATTTGATGCATATAGAAAATCTGGCAACACTAGGCACTTTACAAAGGTTTCTCGGCAAGTCAGCGGAATATTGTGTCGATTTCGGAACAGAATACCAATTTTACTGGCAAGTTTGGTGACCATAGAATCAACTTGAGTCCTCCAAGAAAAATCCTGGTCCAAATGTATTCCAAGGTACTTTGCACATGTCACTTGCTTGAGCTGCACTCCATGACAGTAGACTGCAAATTGGTGGTCAGTAATATGTGGCGTAGACAGGAAGAGCACTTGTGTCTTCCGGGCATTTAGAATTAAATTGCGGTTTGACAGCCAGGTACTAATGGCTGAGACAGCTGCAGACAGGGAGTTGCTAAGCGCATTCTTCTGCGTACCGCAAACATACAATAGAATATCGTCAGCAAATTGAATAACTTTCACACAAAACTCGGAGACAATGGACTGGATCGAGCGAACATAGAGTACAAAAAGCAGCGGACCAAGAACAGAGCCCTGGGGAACGCCACACATGCAGGGGAAAGGAGGGCTATAGTTCTCAGCAATGTGCACTATTTGGCGACGATTGGACAGATAGTCGGCAAACCAAACTAATGCTGAACCAGATATGCCAAGCTCAAACAAATCATTAATGAGCACTTGGTGCCTGACCTTGTTAAATGCTTTGGACATATCCACGAGCACAGCACCAGTAATTTGTCCGGCATCGCGAGCGCGAACAAACGTGTCCGTGACGAAAACTAGAGCGTCTTCCGTTGAATGTTGACGTCTAAAGCCAAACTGACGGGGAGGGTACAAATTCTCCTTGTCCAGAAATGAGGATAGTTGTCTATGGACAATTCGTTCTAACAGCTTCGACACAATTGGCAGGAGAGACACAGGGCGATAATTTCCCGGATCTTGAGGATTTCCAGCCTTGAAAACCGGCGTGACATGTGCCAACTTCATGCCGTCCGGCACAGAACCAACAGCAAGAGATGCATTAAATATCAATGTTAAGGAGGGAGCTAGCAAATCAGCGCAGGATTTCAGAAGAAATGCGGGTATTCCATCACTGCCTGTCGCTTTGCTGGTGTCCAAGGAACCCAACAGTTTACGCACACAACCTATTGACACCGAACTGAAGGATGTAAAACCCTTAGGTTCCACTGGGCCCTGTGGAAGACACAGTTCAGGTGCTCGTTGTTGATCACTGACAACATCAGCAAATACACACCCAATGTTGCTTGCAGAGCATTGTGGAACGGATTGAACACGTTGTCTTCCGGATAACTCGTTCAAAACCTTCCACGTTTTCCTGGGTTTATCTTGAACACTGGTGAACTTAGACTGAAAAAAATTCGTCTTCAATTCACGGTTCATACGAGTCACGATACGCCTGGCTTCTTTAAACGCAGCGTAATCAGTCTGGCACTTAGATTGCAGCCATTTCCGATGAGCGTGGTTACGTCGTCGTATCAACAGGAACAAATGTTGTCTTGGTCGGGAAGACGCGTGGCGCAATGGAGCACGAGCATCAAGAATGGGCACAACCTTAGTCAGCCACTGTTGCCACATGTCATCGCAGGACCCACGAAGTTTACAGAGGTTGGCGCAAGAAATATCCATACGAAGTGATGCCAAGTCCATTCTCTTGAAGTTTCGATAAAGTCGCTGAGAAGGCAATGCTGTCGGCACTGGTTTAACACAAATCTTGGTTGCAATAGCACAGTGGTCGCTGAACGGAACTGGACACACATCAGGCGGGGATATGACTTGAGCTGTACTATAGACATGATCTAATAGAGTGCAGCTCCCTTGCAGCGTTATGCGTGTTGGAGATTTTACAAGTTGATGCAGGCCTAAGCTGGTTGTGATGTCATGCAAGGAGGCATGCTGGGATGTGGGAGATTGACTGACCAGATCAACATTAAAGTCACCACAAAGCAGAATATTCTTGGCTTCTCCCGATGCCTTGTGTAACATGGCCTCTAAAGTCTGCCAGTAAGCTAGTGACTGACTTGGTGGGCGGTAAATACACCCGACAAGAAGAGGTTGTGGGTGAGCTTTGATCTCTACCCAAATGCATTCAACGCCATCGGCTTTTAAGTGGGGACGTAGGTGACTAAACAGTGAGTTATTAACATACAAACATACACCACCTCCGGGTTTGTCGCGCCTGTCAAGCCGAAATAAAGTATAGTTTGCGATTGACATCTCCATCGACGGAACGGAGTGATTAAGCCACGTTTCACACACAGCAGCAATGTCATTTTTTGTGTCCGATATCAATAGATGACTTGCACAAAGATCCGAGCCGCAAGTGAGACGGGGCAAGTGCACCCACCCAGGCTACACTGCGGGCACCCTACACCAGTGTCCACCGTCTGTAGATTCTGTAGATTTTTGTCAGCATGAATGAACGTTGCACGGCATGTACATGTACATGATCAGTACCGTCACTGTCTTCAGTAGCTCATGAGTCATGCATGTGCACTTGTTGTAGGGTTAGTGGAAGCAGGTATTGTACTACTCCCTGAGTGGAAGTACATGACTGTATTATTATGTGAAGAGAAGCCAGGCGTCCAAATCAACCCCAAATACTCTTGCCTTATTCTTCGGTGAAATAGATAAAAAAATTGTCTTACTAAACAACAGTGAGCATAGAAGCAACCTCGATGCACCCAATAATATGGCATCCGGGAACAGCAAGTGTGGCACGAGGATCCCAAGAACACGTCAAGTTCCATGCTACCCGCCGCCATCAAAAGAAGTATATAATAACACATGGTACGGAGGGCATTATGGCTGATTTATGCCCTAGTGCGTAGCCCGAGGTCGTGCACCGTAGCCCAAGGGCCGCAGGCCCGCGGGCTACGGTGCACGACCGAGGGCTACGCACTAGGGCATACAATCAGCCATAATGCACGACGCACCATGTGTTTATTATAGTTCATACATGCCACGTGCCTAGTTGTAGACAAATA